AAAGAATTGCGTTTGACTTTATTCTCTCTAACTGTTTAGAAAAAGAATGATTACAACTCTCTCTACTCTCGATTACAATTTGAATTCCTGATTACAAAAGAGAAGAGAATGATCTGGATTCTCTCCTTTGTTTAATTCTGGGTTCTTCACGGTAGCGATGAAATGCCTCCCTCGAATGCTCACGTCGAGTTTGCTTCTCGTTGACGATCCGACTGTCTATACTCACTGGAACAACGATCTTGTCTGGTTGATAACTCTTGACGAGTTTTGTGATTCAGAACGAGTAACAAACTCTGATAAAAAGAGTTGTTTGAACCGAAAATGATTCGGTTAATAAGCCAAGTATCTAACGTCTGAATCCCTCAATGGATGTTGATTCCCCAGACTGTATAAAGAGTTAATTCTCCAACTCTCTCTCTAAAATCCTCTCCAGAAAATCTGATCTCCAATGATATCTCGTCCCTCGATCTGATTATCAAAAATCCAATCTAAGCAATCCAAAAGAGATCCCCCACCTCTGTTGAGTTTGTTGATATTTATAGGGGGATTAGGGGTGTAACTGCCCCCATAATCCGCACCTAAATGGGGGTTTAGTTACCCCACGTAAGCCACTCCTCAAATCGTGGGTGAAAACTGCCTGGATCGTGTTTGAACAGGTCAGAACTTTGACATGCGTTCTGGCCTAAATTCTATGTTTGAACGCAGCATCTGGAGGTGCGTTCTGCAGCGATATTGAGCTGCGTTCTTCGATGTTTGAAGGTGCGTTTGGCAGCAATATAGAGCTGCGTTCGACGTCGGTTGGAGCTGCGTTGGGCACCGATGATGAGCTGCGTTCGACGTCGGTTGGAGCTGTGTTGGGCAGCGATGATGAGCTGCGTTCGACGTCGGTTGGAGCTGCGTTGGGCAGCGATGATAAGCTGTGTTGGGCAGCAATGATGAGCTGCGTTCGAGCTGTGATGATGAGCTTCGTTGGGCAGCAATGATGAGCTGCGTTGGGCAGCGATGATGAGCTGCGTTGGGCAGCGATGATGAGCTGCGTTGGAGCTGTTTGGCAGCGATTTTGGAGCTGCGTTTGAGCTTCTCTGTCTTTATATATGGATGACACCAATGACCAGTAGAGGAGGTCTTATTCAGGCCATTTGTAACAATTGAGGCATCTCAATAACGCTCTATCAACTGCAGGTCACGATCTCCACTAAGATTTCTTTGCATGGTTTAACCATGTGCTCTTCAGTGTGTCGAATATCATTACACTGCTCATCAGCACCTCTAATAGTTGCTAATATGATATTAGTCATGTTGTTGTCGCATTCGAGCTGATTGTTGAAGCTGCGTTCAGGTTTCTCTGTCTTTATATATGGATGACACCAATGACCAGTAAAGGAGGTCTTATTCAGGCCATTTGTGACAATTGAGGCATCTCAATAACGCTCTATCAACTGCAGGTCACGATCTCCACTAAGATTTCTTTGCATGGTTTAACCATGTGCTCTTCAGTGTGTCGAATATCATTACACTGCTCATCAGCACCCCTGATAGTTGCTAATATAATATTAGTCATGTTGTTGTCGCAGCCATCAAGATCAATCATCTCACATAAGAAGCTGCATTTGTGTTTGCCGCGGTAGGTGATTGAATTGGTGTTGTGTCTTGATGATGGTACGCAGGGAGGACTTCCACGTCTTAGTTTGAAGAGATCGTCGATTTGTAATCTCTTTCTATCAGAGTGTTGCTAAAGATAACCTTCTGGAAGTCGTCAGATTGTAACTTCCATCATCGGTGTTTGATGGGGAATCAGCTATCTTTTTTAGACAGCCTACAGCTAGCACTAACAAAGGCAATAGAACCAACGTTTACACTAGAACTTGAATTAGCTGGAGGCAGAATCAACCCGATATCAATTAGGACTGACCCCACAACAGTTAGGACTAACATTATCGAGTCTAGGATCAACAGAGGTAATAGAACCAACGCTTACGCTATAACTAGCGCTAGCTAGGGGTAGAACTAACATGAATGCAGCTAAAACTGACCCCACAACAGCTAGAACCAATATTATCCCAGCTAGCACTAACAAAGGCAATAGAACCAACGCTTACACTAGAACTTGAGTTACATATATAAAGGAGTGAGGGTCAATAGAGAGTCGTCGAGAGTGAGCCGTAAGGTTATCATAACTATCCTGTATAGGAACAAGCCAAGGGATGGTAAGGTTACCATGACATAAATATTGATCTTAGCATCAAAAAACCTAATAATCTATGTGTCTTGTCGAACTTGCTCCTTTTTTTGGATATTTGAAGAAGCATCATCTGCTTCTTTATTAGCTTGCATGTGAACCTCTTTCAGTCTAAGATTGTGACAATGCTCCACCATAGACGACAGATCCCCCTCGTTCTCAATAGGAAATTTAAAGCTTCCATTTGTTTTATCTTTGTATGACAAACTTAATGAATCATATGGAAGATCTAACCTCTGTGACACATCAAATTTGAGGTCTAGGATGATGGTTGAAGAGTTAATCTTTATGAATATTACTTTATCCCCTGAAGAGACAATGCGGATGATGTCCTTCTCAGCCATTATGAAGGGAAGGTAGGAGTAATGGATCGAATTTTAGGATAAGTCAGAGTAATAAAGAGAGTAATGGAGAGATTTTTTTTGTCTGAGCTAGCGTTAGCTGGGGATAGAACTAACATGAATGCAGCTTGAACTGACCCCACAATAGCTAGAACCAACATTATCCCAGCTAGCACTAACAAAGGAAACAGAACCAACGCTTACACTAGAACTTGAGTTACATATATAAAGGAGTAAGGGTCAACAGAAAGTTGTCG